TTTCTTGAACAAACCCAGACCGCTCGCAGGTCATATTTCGGGTTGCTTGTACTACATAGGCCCAAGTGGCGGTTGTATTAATAGATAGATATGCACATACAAGTGCTAGGCAGTGCTCTGCTGCTGGGACTTAATCGCTAACAGATGCTTCTTATCTATAAACGTGAACAATAATTCAAAAACTACTCCAGATGTATTTTTTTTCAAAGCAGCAGGGCATCTCCTACGCCGAAGCTCTACGGACAGGTAGTAAACCCACTCCCTCAAACTCAGTAAATGCTCAGCAGGCCCCAGGGCAGCCACAAAACAACCTGGAATCCATGATGGTGACCATGCAACAAAGTATGATGGAACTCATGTCATTTATGAAAACGACCATGCAAACGCTTGTCCAGAATCAGAATATGGTGATACAGCTGCTTGTAGCACAACAGTCAAAATAATCAATGTCTAATCTACGTATATCCACGTGAATTGCCAACGGCGTCTCACGGCATAAACTTGAACTAACACAATTCCTAAATGAAAACCACATCGACGCCATGCTACTGGTTGAAACGCACCTCACAAGCAGATACAACTTTCATATAAGAGGTTATACCTTCCACCGCACAGATCATCCAGATGGCAAAGCCCACGGCGGGACCGGCATCCTTATCAGAGAACGTATCAAACACCATTTTCACCAAAGGTTTGCAACAAATTTCTTGCAAGCTACGTCCATAAAAAGTGCAGTCAGGTAACGGCAACCTTTGCATTGCTTCTGTCTACTGCCCACCTCGCTTTACAATCTCTGAAGGTCAATTCATGGATTTTTACAACTCTCTTGGAGATCAATTTATAGCTGCAGGAGATTACAACGCCAAGCATACGCATTGGGGATCCCGCCTCGTGACCCCCAAGGGAAGACAACTGTATAATGCTCTTATCAATGTGATCAATGTGAGAAATAAGCTGGACTACGTTTTCCCTGGTAGCCCCACATATTGGCCAGCAGACCACAGAAAGATACCCGATCTAATTGACTTCGCGGTGACAAAAAACATCCCACGCAATTTAATAAACGCCAAGGCCCTTCCAGACCTTTCTTCAGATCACTCTCCGCTGTTGATAACCCTCCTTCAAAGCCCAGAAACTACGGATCGCCCACACAGGCTGACATCGCACAGAACAAATTGGATGAAATACAAAAAGTATGTGAGTTCCCACATAGAGTTAGCCCCCCAGCTCAATACTGAAGCCGACATCGACTCCTCCACCTCCGCTCTGGAAGAAGTACTCGTGACTGCTGCCAGAATCTAAACACCACAACAGACGGATGTGCAAAAAATCAAATTCAAAACGAACCAGCAAATTAAACAGCTTATCCAAGAAAAGATGCATCTGCGACGGGCGTGGCAAACCAATAGATCGCGATGCTCAAAGCAACGTCTAAATGAAGCCACACGCAAACTAAGACGGGCCCTGAAGCAAGATGCCGAAAAAGCACAATTAAGATATATTGAAAAACTCTCGCCAACCAGCACAAAGCATCCCCTATGCAGAGCTCACCCAAATTTAAGCTCATCGGCTGAAACCATCACCCCTATAAGAAAGACAGAGCCGAAACTTTTGACTCACATCTCCACGGCGTTTTCCAACCGAACCCTGCTGCAAATCCATTTTAACCATTTGAACCATTTGAACGAGATAACGAAGGTCATCAGGGAACTGAAGCCGAAAAAGGCTCCCGGCGATGACCTAATAACTCAAAAAATGATAATTGAACTTCCGAATTGTGCTATTGAGGTCATCTGTAAAATCTTCAATGGGATCATAAGTCCCGGCCATTACCCAACAAATCTATAATTATAATTATACCGAAACCAGGAAAAGACCACACGACTCCATCACCTTACCAACCAATAAGTCTACTATCATGCTTGTCCAAGTTATTTGAAAAATGCCTACTAAAGCGCCTTATCCTTATCTGGGAGCTCACAACAATATCCCAGCTCATCAATTTGGCTTCAAGGAAAAACATGGAACTATCGAGCAAGTTAACAGAATAACATCAGAAATTCGCACAGCCTTCAAGCATCGAGAATACTGCAGCGTCTGGCACAAAATAAAAACACTTTTGCCGGTATACACACACAAATTACTTGAGTCGTATCTCTACAACAGAGTCTTCGCAGTGAGGTGCAACGCAACAACATCCGGGAACTATTCAATCGAAGCTGGAGTCCCACAAGGAAACGCACTTGGGCCTACCCTATTTGTCCTATACACAGCGGATATCGCCACAAGAGACCAGCTAACATTATCCACTTTCGCTGATGACATTGCGATCCTCAGCCGTTCCAGATGCCCAGTCCGTGCAACAGCCCAGGTCGCCAACCACCTCAAGATAGTCGAGAAGTGGCTATCTGACTGGCGTATCAAAATAAATGAACAAAAGTGTAAGCACATAACGTTCACTCTCAACAGACAAACATGCCCCCCGCTCTACCTGAACAGCACACTGATCCCCGAAGTCAACGTGGTAACGTACCTGGGCGTCCACCTGGACAGACGCCTAACATGGCGAAGACATATTAAATGCAAGAAACTTCATCTAAAACTAAAAAGCCAGCAGCCTCCACTGGCTCATAAACTCCCGATAGCCCCTCTGTCTGGACAACAAGGTCCTGCTCTACAATTCCACACTAAAGCCAATATGGACGTACGGCTCCCAGCTCTGGGGGAACGCGTGCAGCACCAATCTAGACATCATACAGCGCGCCCAATCAAAAATCCTGAGAACTATCACTGGGGCACCATGATATATTCGCAATGAAAACATCCACAGGGATCTCGGCATTCCTGCAGTTAAGAACGAAATAGAAAAACAAAAAGCGTCCTACAAGGAAAAACTCTCTGTCCATCCAAATCCTCTAGCAAGGGACTTGATACGGGTTTCCAGAAGAAGCCGTCTACTACGCAACGACCTTCCAACCCAGCCATAATTAGTCAGGGCCATTTACTCTGTACCAGTCTACATGACTGCTAGTTAGGTAGTATTGTAAGATTTGATACACTCATTGTTAGTCTTATAAATGAGAAGATTCAATAAATAAAAGCAAAGCATAAAAAAAAAAAAAAAAAAATTGAAGAAATGGATTTCCTACGATCTCAAAATATAAACCACTGTAGAAGACACAGAGAATAATAAGGTTCTCAATATCGTGGAAAATGAAAGTGTTAAGACTTTAGGGCTTGAATGGGAACCAAAAAATGGCTTCTTTAAATTTGAAGTAAATTGTACGGAGTCAAGTAGTACAAACAAAATAGTAGTATTATTAACTCTTTCAAAAAATATACGATCCATTAGGATGGTTGGCACCTGTTATTTTTTTATTCAAAAACTTTGGCTAAGTAAAAGTGAATGGGATCAGGAATTATTCATCGAAGATAAAAATTATTGGGAAAAATATAAAGAAAATTTATTACAGGACAATCCAGCAGACTTAGCATAAAGAGGAATTGACTCTAACCAATTGACTAACTATGATCTTTGGTGGAAAGGTTCAAAGGAACTTTGGCCTCGGTAGCAAACGGGAGAAGAATCTGTACTAATAAATACAATATTAAATGACGAAATAAATGATTCAATTTACAAATTGATAGCAAGGTATTCCAGTATAGAAAAACTTATATGTATAGTATATACAACTAGATTCATTCAGATAAAAACAAAACAGGAATGTTATCCATATTTTCTTTCAGTAAAAGAGTTAAAAAAAAGCTGAAAGTGTTGTTGTTTATGGGGAAGACAACGAATATGCCACCCTTTAGTTTATAATAAAAACGCATAATAGAATTTTAGTATAAGCCGTGTAATTTCTGTGTTTCTTTAATCGGAGCTGCAGACTGTGTATATGTAAGCTTGGCTTCAGAATATATATATTGTAACGAAAGCCGCCCAATAGAGCTTTCGATCCTCGAGGCAGTTGGCAACACGAGCACCTGCGCGATAATGAGTTTGGACGGCCCGGATATCAAAACGAGCTAAGCTGCGCAATCCCGAGAATCTGACAGCCAGGATGCCTGGTCTCTCTGATTCTCCTCTTGTTCTTGATCCCGATTTCCGTAAGCAACACGCCGAATTGGCGTGATCTCGGCCGGCACCCCTTAGACGCGGCCGAGATTCGTTACATTGGTGCCAGGTGTGGGGTCCATAGGGTTTGCGAAAACCCTGACCTACGAAAATGCCGAAGAACTCCGCTCGCCACCGCCGTCAAGCCTCCCCCTGAAGGGCATAACCAGGAAGAACCGCGGGATGATGCCGTCGCGCTGGACGCCGTAGATCGAGCCGTCGACCGCTCCTTCCGGCGGATCGAGCGAAAAGTGGAGGCCCTGGATCAGTCGTTCAACCTAAAGCTGGAGTAGAAGTTCGAGCAGATGTGGGGGACTTTCGAGAGGACTATGCTGGGCGACCGCTCCGGAAACAACGGAGCGCAGCCCGCGCGCAGTCGCGACTGCGTGACACAAGCTGGGGGCGACTTGCATTCCGCCAGCACCCCACGCTTCGCGGAGGCAGCTAACCCCTACTCTGCACCGGCGCGACAGGTGTATTCCCGAAGGATGGACACCGGACCTGGAGCTGCACCAACTACTGCGCCGCCACCAGCGTACGACCTAACCTCACATTTGGGAATCCTCGAGGTGTCGGACGAGGAGCTGCCGCCCACATTCGACGGCACCCGTCCCTGGCCGAAGTTTCAGCGCCTCCTGGACGACATGGCCGAGGAGTACCATTGGTCAGAAAGGAAGATGTGCAGGAAATTGTACACAAGTCTTCGGGGGCGTGCCCAGCGTTTTCACGCCACCCTCCACTCGTATGAGGCCATAGCGGCTGCTATGCGCGAGTATTTCGCGGTCAGTAAGCATGCCGGCTATCCGCGCTCGCTGACGGATGCTCTCGACATGGCCGACTGGGCGTCGATGCCCAGTGCCGACGACGCTCCACCGCTGCCGTGATGACCGTCGCTGCTGTGGATCCAGACGAGCCCGTTGGCGCACCCCGGAGAGTAACCCCTCCCGGAATTCCGTGCCGTCCTCGGGAAACTAGCTGCCGTCAATCTCTCGGGGCGGAGGTTGACAGCCAACACCAACAGCCCCAGCGAGCGTGTGCTCACGCCCGCCATTTCTCACCGGCGGCCAAACAACCGCCGCCCATCTCCAGCTCGTCCTCAATCCCGGATTACTGGAGCGGGTCCCCACCCCTGCGACCCTTCGCCACCCCCTCGAAGCGAAGCCACCGCCCACTGAGCAACCTGGTACCCGACAGAGTCTTCGTCCCAGTCGAGTCGAAGCCGTCCTGGCCCCCTTGCTCCTCGCCGCCGCCGCTCGAGCAGAGTGCCCAGCAGCCACGGAACGTTGAGATCGCCGCAGCCCTGAACGCCTCGCAGCACCTCGACGAGAAGCCGCCGCCAGCCAAGCAACCGGGCGCCCGACAGAGTCTTCCTCCTTGTGGAGTCGCAGCCGTCCTGGCCCCCTTGTTCCCAGAGCCGCCGCCCGAAGAGAGTGCCGATTCGTCTCAAGAGTTAGAGTTTGCCGCGATCCGGGACGCCGCCACAGTGCCCCGACCGAGTGGTTTTTCGAGCGCCCCCACCCAAGAAGCTGCCGGAACGGGAACCCCTGCAAGGGAAGTGCCGTCCGCCAGCGCACATCCGTTGCAGGAGCCGCCGTCCATCGAGATCGTCTCTGGACCGCCGCCCTCCGCAAATAGTGCGATCCAAACTGCCGCCGCCGCCGAGTCCTACGGGACCACACCGCCGCCGCCTGCAGAAGGAGAGGAATCGGACGTGCTCCAAGTGGACTCCGCCTTGAGCCGATTATTCGCCGAATACTCATCCGGAGACCCACCGCCAATCACCGTAACTACGGGAAAACAACTGGAGACTGGAAATCCTAAAGCTGAACGTGGCGGGATTCAGTCTCCGTCCGCCCAAGCAACGTAAACCTGTCGTGCCGTGGGTGGCCCTCACTTACACTGCTTAATCTTTTTACAGAAGCAGCCTTTACGCCTGATCATCGACACTGGGGCCGCCGTCTCCCTACTAAATGACAGGGATCCGCAAAAACGACTGCCGACCACCCCGTGCCGAGTGACACTTCAGTTACCATCAGCGGAACAATTCGTGGCCACCGCTCGAGTCAACGCCAGACTCGAAATTGCTGGAAGGCCTGTTACCCACGAGTTCTTGCTGGTGGAGGGGCAGCACTCCTAGCCATCTGGACATGGACTTTTTGCTGCGAACTGTCGCGAACTGCGAACCGTCGAACTGAAAGACCTTCAGCTGCGGTTTCTGTGGGGATATCTGCCGCTATATGCCCCAAATACACAGCAGCGAAATTCGTTTGATTCGACTGCACCCACCAGTATCCTGCCATATAGGGAGTACGGTAAGGCTTAGTGAAGCAGGGCACGTTTGATGTTAAAGTTATTTCCATTTTGGTTAGAGAGCATTTACTGAGCTCGTTAGCTTTCTCCGCAAAGCAAGACGCATTTTCCGATACCAATTTGTTTATGAGCTCGTTGTCAACTGACGAACGCTCTTGGCTTGTTTGAATTTTTCGAATATTCTCTACATAACACTCATTACCGAGGATGATCAATTTGTTTCCATCGCGACAAAGGATATCCTTACCCAAAAGTACATTTTCGGTTATTAGTTTATCTTCTACGACCAAAACTTCAACTTCGTAATCCGAATCGTCAATTACAATTTTCGCGAATAGTTTCTGTGTACAAAGGAATTTCCCACCACCAAATCCGTTCAGGGTAACAGCACATCGTTGTAGAACACCTACGCTTTCGGCGAATGACTTTCGAATTAGGGTTCGCGTACTGCCTGGATCTACGAATGCGATGGTTTCATTGCCGTTCACCGAAATCGATATGGAGATTTCTGAATCAGGATCAGAGTCAATTTTATTAATTTTTGGACCTGTCTTTTGGTTATCGGGGCAGCTGGCAGAATCGTGTGTTGTGCGGTTGCAGTGCGTGCAACGAGGCTTTCGCTGAGGCTCAGGACATTTCGAAGAATAATAACCAACTTTCTGACAATTGTAGCATTTAACCGATACCTCGACTTTATCGTTTGAAGCTGTCGGGGGCCGTGGCAAGTACAATTCCAGAATTTCCCAATAAAAGTAGGCAGAGTTTTAATATGATGATGAGGAGGACAAACGATCCGTCTTCTTTGGAGTTTATTTTCAGAGTAATAAAAGAGAGGCACAACTAACATGGCGACAGGTACATTTTCTTACCAGAGATGCTCCCCTGGCGACATTGCCCCTTGTTCAGCTTGAACATTCTCCCCCCCCGCGCAAGAGGAATACTTGCGATCTACGAGAGGGAGCATCGTCCGGAAAGGATCCATCCCAGCGTCGTATTTTGTGCCATCGGCAAGCCATCCTGACCCGGGAGGATACCCGGGAGCATCAGGTCAGCGTAGACATCCGCCCCAAGCACAACCGACACTAGAGATGGGTGGAACCACCGGTCATCCGCCAATGTGACATTTTGAAACATGTCCTGCACCTTCGGGTCCAGCGATTGCCCCGGCGTTCGTGTCTGCATCTGCTCGTCCACCAGCATCAGAAGCTGCTTGCTCATCTTGGAGGCCTTGGAGCGCATCTCGGTGGTGCACACCCGTTGGTCGCCAATGCCCGTGATGGCCAGATTAAGGGCTTTAACCAGGGAGATGTGGATGCGACTCACAGGACAGCACGGATCCACCAAGGCTCGGACATCAAACCGCTTTTGGTCGGATCCGATTAGCACGGACGCGGTCGGGAGGATGCTAACACTTGTGCGCGCCAGGATAGGCGTGCACGACCGGCTGCGGGATGGAGACATATCCATTGGCGTGGCGGGCCGCCGAGATCCGGATACAGGCGCCTGCTGGCGCTGCTGTGACTGACGCTGAGGCCGAGAATCCGAGGGTGGGTTGCGCCTTTGTCGGGGTCGCGAAGAGCGAGGCTGCCCAGTGTGGATGTGTAGCAGCGTGTGATGAGCCTCATTGCATATATGACACCTCGCTGTACTGCGGCACGACCGACCGGAATGCTCGTGTGCCAGACAGTTTGCGCAGTACTTGTTAATGAGTACCGCGCGGAGCCGCTTCACAGCCGGCAGTTGGAGAAACCGTTGGCAAACCCTCAGAGCGTGGACTCCCCTGCAGACTCGACATCTGTATACATTGCTCCCGGATGAGCGACGAGGATTTTGGTGGGTCGTTGGAGCCATTGTATACACGGATCTAAATTAAAAAGAGAGATGGATAAATATGAAAATGAAGTGTTATGGATGAGGATGAACAAGACACGTGGACGGAACGACGACGTTGGATGACACAACTTAGGACTAGTACATGTCAATTGGAAGGACTAATCTATTGAGGAGTCACTATGGTCAATGGGGCCGTCCATTGGGAGGCGAATCATTTTCGCCACTGGCCGTCGGATGACGCCCCGTGCTGTAAGCACGTCTGCAACTCTGACCTTGCCGTCGGCGCCCGGACATACCAACTGGATACGCCCAAGCCGCCATTCGTTGGCTGGCAAGCTCTCCTCCTTGATCACAACCATGTCTCCCGCTTGGAGATCTCGTGATGGGAACTTCCATTTGTTCCTTTTGTGGAGCTCCTTCAGATATTCCTCCTTCCAACGCACACAGAACTGCTGATGCAGGGCCTTCAACCTCCGCCACCGATTGATGATGGAAATAGGATTCTCCTCAATCAGAGGCTCCGATACCGCAAGAAGTGGTCCACCAATTAGAAAATGTCCGGGGCTAAGAGCCACAAGGTCAGTGGGATCTTCGGACATTGGTGAAATAGGCCTGGAGTTTAAACAGGCCTCAATTTTTCGCAAGGAGGGTAGCCAGTTCTTCGAAGGTGTACTTCCCTGCTGCTGTGTACTTGTAGAAGTGAGCCTTGAAACTTTTCACACCCGCCTCCCAGAGCCCTCCCATGTGAGGCGCGCCAGGAGGGTTGAAATGCCAGGCCAAGTTCTGAAGGCTGTGTTTGGAGAGGATCAGTGTTCTGGTTGACTCTATAAAGTCTCTGGATAAGGACGTGGAGGCTCCGACAAACGTTTTCCCGTTGTCAGAGTAGACATGTTGTGGACACCCACGGCGCGCAGAAAAACGAGAGAAGGCAGCTAAAAATTTCTCTGTCGTCAAGTCGGACGTCGCTTCGAGATGGATGGCCCTGGTACTAAAGCAAACAAAAACGCAGACGTATCCCTTTGTGATTTTGCAGGCTCGACCGACATAACTCTTGATGTCAAATGGCCCCGCGAAATCCATGCCTGTATGAGTGAATGGCCTGGAGAAAGAGGATCTCGCCCGGGGCAAATCCCCCATCAACTGCCTCTGCAGGTTCTTCTTGTGGATGACACAAACTCGGCACGAGTGAATTGTGTGTTTCACCAATCTCTGAAGCTTAGGAATCCAGAATTTAGACCGAATCAGTCTCACCATTAACTGATTCCCCCCATGCAAGGATATGCGATGGGTAAACAGGGCTTGTAGTTTCGCGAACCTACATCGCGCTGGGATGATGATAGGATGTTTTTCATCATAACTAAGCATGTCAGATGCTTGTAAACGGCCGCTTGCTCTCAAGACCCCCTTTCTGTCAAGAAAGGGGTTTAGGTTAGAAATGGTACTTGAGGCTGGAATTTGCTGCTTGTTACTTAAAGCCTTATATTCGACGGGAAACTCATTCTTTTGAGTGAACACGATTAACCGCTCTTGCACGTCGGACAACTCCGCCGAAGTGAGTGCTGACGATGGGGGTATATCTTCCTTTTTGCAACTTTTCGCAAAACGGATCACGTATGCCAGAACCCGCAGCGCCCTGTCGAAGGTTGAGAAACGCTCTAGGATATCCACTGCTGGCGGCACTGTGGCACTGTGACATTTGATAGGCCGTTGCTCCATCTCGGTTTCCGGATTAACCAGGGGTTCACTCGGCCACTGCTCCTGCTTGAGTGGCAGCCAAGCCGGCCCGTGCCACCAAAGTGTGCTGTCCTTAAGCTCTTGGGGCGAGACGCCCCGGCTTGCCAGATCAGCTGGATTGTCTTCGGATCGTACATGGCCCCATTTGCTTTCGTTGGTGCGCTGTTCGATCTTTGCGACCCTGTTGGCCACGAATGTCGTCCAGGTGCATGCTGGCTTGCCTAGCCATGCAAGAACTATGGTGGAGTCGGTCCAATAAAAAATCTCATAAGCTTTAGGAGGCAATTCGGAAATTACTGATGCTGCTAGCTCAGTGAGCAGCACTGCTCCGCACAACTCCAGGCGGGGTATGGAGATGGACCTGACAGGAGCGACTCTGGTCTTGGATGCCAGCAAATGGGCACAACAGCCGTCAGCCGTTTCGACTCGGACGAAAATAGCAGCCCCATACGCGTCCTGCGACGCATCGCAAAACGCATGGTACTGCACCTGGGCAGCAGGATGGAAACGCACCCACCTCGGAATACGAATTTCCCTCAGGGTCGGATACCCTTTCAAAAACTCTTGCCACTTGGTCACAAGGTCGGTGGGGAGTGGCTGATCCCAGCCTAGCTCCCGTAGCCAAATTTCCTGCATGAAAATCTTGGCTCGGATTACGAAAGGCGATAACCACCCTGCCGGGTCGAAAAGTTTGGCTATCTGAGACAAAACCTCTCGTTTGGTGTAGGCAGGTTGCAGGGGGATCACCATTGGAACAAAAAAGAAACTATCGGATGTAGCTTGCCAACGGATCCCAAGAGTTTTCGCCGTGCTGGCATCTTCCAGCTCAAGGAAGTCTGCACTGACCAAATGTTCCCTCGGAATCGCTTGTAGGAGTCTCCTTTCGTTGGAGGTCCACTTGCGCAGTGGAAAACCGGCACTCTCGAGAGCCAGCCGAAGCTCTTTAATGGCTAAAACTGCCGACTGCCGAGTGTGAGCCCCTGCGAGCAC